TCTAGCCTCTTTGCAGGGAGTTCTGCTGAATGGTTCCCTGATGTGCCTGCAGCCTGAATTGAATGAGGATCCAGCGGGCCCCAGGTCGTCTCACTCACTCTCTGGGCCTGTGCTCTGGGTCCTTATGTTTTTTAAAAATCATTTATTTATGTAGTCATTGATTGATGTATTTGGTACAAGGTCTTGCTACACAGCTACACAGATCAGACTCAGAGTGATACTCCTGTTGCAGCCTCACCAGGGCTGTGATCAGAGGAGTGTGCCACCGTTCATGGTCTTGGTGGCTGGCACAATGTGCCTGAGGTAGGTTCTGGAGCCCTCACGGCATGTGGTACCAGGGATTGCACCTGATCCTTGCACTTGACAGACAGGCATTTAAATCACCAAATTATTTCCCAAATCCTTCCTCATGTATTTTTGAGTCATGATTAAAATAAGATACTTACATGTAATTTGGAAAACAAATATCTAATAATTTTACATTATTGTAGTTCAAATGCATAGAAATAACTGTTAACACTTAGTTACACTTTCTGTTAGTTTTTTCTGCTTTCTTCACCCACTAAACCATTTCCTGTGTGAGGACATAGTCTTTGAAAACACATCTAAAAAATGTATAAGGTATGATTTAAAAATACAGTGAATGTTTAATTTTCAAAAATGTATCACAGTAAAAGACACATGGCCATTAAGATCTCTCAAAATATTCTCTTGTCCTTCAAACACACTTATTGCATCATTCTTACCACATTCTGAAATAGTTTTGGAATTCTTCTTTCATGAGTGTCCTTGCTGTACTGTCATGGCTCTTGGTATCCTCAACTGGTTCAAAACATTTACCTTTTGTGGCCATTGTTGACTTTGGGGAAGAGCCAGAAATCACACAGGGCCAAATCCAGTGAATAAGGTAGATAAGGACACACTGCAATGTTTTTATGAGCCTGTTTTTCTGTTGGATAGCCTGAAGCCATAATCTTCACTGTATTTTTAATTACATCTTGTAAAAACACTAATGAAAGAGGATTTCAAAAATGCTTTGGAAAGTGGAAATACAGTGAATAAATGTGTTTGAAGTAAGGGGAGAATTTTGAGGAAGATTAATGACAATATCTTTTACTGTAATTATTTTAAATTAAGTAAGAATTTAATGTAATTTTGATCACTCTTATGTAATTTCTTGATTGCATATGTCATGAGCAAGTCCCCATGTCAGAATATAGCCCTTAAAAACAAAATTTCTAATGGCTTTATAATATGGTCTTCATATGATTTTATCTATTATCTTATTGATAAAAATTTACATTTTCTTTTCTGAATCTAAATTACTCTAGACCAGTGGTGGCAAACCTTTTAGAGCTTTCAGTAATAACAAACAGCCCACTGTAGCACATGTGCTTATAATCTTAGCAAAGTCAGGGAACATGTGCCTTGTTGGTGATTGCGTCTTCAGTGCTTAACCCATGTCTCACATGGAATGGTGTTTTAGGGAATGTTTTGTTACACACAAAAGTCTATAGTGGGATATTACTACACTAGAAGGTACAAACGTTTTGCAGGTTGTTGATTTTTTTTTCTTTTTATTGTTTTATTCAGAATAAGAAACAAGGATGTAAAAATGAGGAGGTGCTTGCTGTACTGGGCCATGAACTGGGGCACTGGAAGTTGGGACACACAGTCAAAAATATCATTATTAGCCAGGTAAGTTTGAAGTGATGATTTATTTTTATAACACAGTCACCAATTTAGAAGTATGGCAGGTATAAGAGGTCATATACTAGAGAGATATATGACAGACTTGAGCCCAGAAGGCATAGCACACGCCTGTAATTCTAGCTCTTCAAGAAGCTGAGGCAAAAGATAATAACTTTAAGCTCAGGCTGGGTAATTTAATAAGACCCTGTCTCAATTTTTTGTCAGGGAGGGGGATCCCAGAAATCAAACTCAAGACCTTGCACTTGCCAGGCAGTCACTTGTGCCACTGAGCTATATTCTGGCTCCTGTTTTTGGAGACAGGGTGTCACTTTATAGCTCAGGTTGGCCTTGAACTCACTATGTAGCTGTCTTAGTTACTTTTTACTCGTTGCTGGGACAAATACCCGACACTCAAAATGAAGGAAGGAAAGGTTTATTTAGCTCACAGTTATTGGAGGTTTCAGTCCATATTCCGCTGGCTCCAAGGCAAATGACAGCAGTTCATTGAGAGAAAACAATGAAGAGCAGAGGAGGAGCAGCAGCTTCGGCATCCATCAAGCCTCTCTCTTCCTTCTGCGCTGACTGCGAAGGCCAGCGCTCCACAGTGAAGATCGGAGCTCCTCCAAAGTGGTGCGGCTGCCAAGATCAAGCTCCTCCAAAGACTCGGATTTCTCCACCGAAACGGGCAGGATGGCAGGAACCAGGCAGGGCGGCTTCCTGGCTTTCTCAGTTCCTGGGCCCTGCCCACCTGCAGGGCTAGGCCCCCATGCTGCGATCTGCTGGAGCTGATTCAGCCAAGGTGATGCAATGTATCAACTAACACAGTAGCCCAGGCTGGCTTGGAACTGGTTGTGCTCCTCTTACTTCAACCTCCTGAGTGCTGGTACTATATGCAAGTGCCACCACACCCAGCTTCAAAATTTTTCCAAAAGTCTGGGGATATAATTTAGTGTGAACACTCTGGGTCTGATCCTTAGTACCACAAAAACATAAATAAAAATAAAAAGGGTTGAGAATGTAGCTCAGTCATAGGACACCCCAGGTTCAATCCCAGGTACCACAAAAAAAGAAACTTTAATAGCCAGGCTTCCTATGGAGACTTCCATTGAGGCTCCCTGCCTCAATTTCCTCTGTGTCCTCAGGCAAGTTCGTTAACTTCTCTTAGCCATTTCTTCTTTCATTGACTGATGATACCTCATAGAACTAAAAATTAAATAACTGCTGGAGGCCTACCTAAACTGAAGTGACTGTTATATAAATGTTTATTGTTATCACCATCATAGTCACCACATTCAGAGTTGTTCAGATGTAAAAGCTGTTACTATCAAAAGGAACAAACATACATAAATTCATATTAAAATGCCTCCTCTCATGCTGGGTATAAAATGCAGGGCCTTGGAAATGCGGGCAAGCACTATACCACTGAGCTACGTTAACATGCTTTTAAAAAATGTTTGATCATTTAAAAGTAATTTCTCTGAAAGCTGTGGGAAATATAAAGAAGAAATTAATTCCAATAACATTCCTTCTCTGGATATTAATACATCAGAATGAGCAGATTTCCACACAGTGGATGAAGCAGCACTAAATTCTATGGATTGCTTCTGAGCATATGGAGCCTTCTATGAGTCTTAGGTGGGAATTGGCCTGCCATCCTGGTGGGCTGGTCTCTATAAACTGATACCTTGTCAGGACTAGGGTCAGTTGCATCTCCTGATAGATTGGAACCATCAGGAGCCAGTGGGGAGAAGTCTATTGTTCACTAATACACTAAACCCTTCTCTTAGCCATTGTTCATGAGTCCCTTGACCAAATTCTGAAGTGTCTGGAAAAGAGGCTAGCTGACTAGCACAGAGCAATCATCTGCAGCTGATCATCAAGAGCCTCCTCTCCTCATGGGACTCTAGTGAATAGCACATCAAGCCAGAGGATTAGCATCCTCTGGACTGATTCTGGAAGCTTCCCACGTATCTTTTCCCTAAATCTCCCAATGGCAGTCCTGTAGTTCTATTGTGGGAAAAATCCAGGACCAAAAGGAAACTGCTCTGCTCTGAGGAGTTTGGAAGGCAGGTGTTTAGCAAACTGATGGGAACCAGTTCCAAGTCATCAGCCCAAAGTCTCTTTTGAGTTCAGTTTAAATACAATTTGCAAGCAGGAAGTACAAAGCTGATAGCTGATTATTATATGATTGGTTATGTGGATTACAAGTCATATGTTGCTAGACAAATTTGTTTTAAGCAGGTTTACTTCAAAGGAAATGTTTATCATTACATAAGAGTAATTTTGTGAGGAAGGAGGTTAGAGCAGAGCAGGTAGAGTTGAATGCATCCTTGACTGAGCCAGTCTGTTCTGGGCATAAAGCATAATAAAGTCCTTGAAGTAAGCTGAAATAAAAAATATATACATGTTTTAAGTAGAAAAACACAGATATTATAGCTGAATGTGGTCAGGTTGACCCTAGCCAGCTATTTGAAAGAAGCAGCTGGATACAGTCAAGGCTGAATTTTGCAGTCTAACTATGTGGCAAGCAACATGAGCATTTCCTGTCTCAACATAGCACAGGCTACTGATTGATTTTTAATTTTTACTATAAGATTGTATAAATTTTCTATCACAGTTCAGTGGTGGTGAACCTGTGGCATGCATGCCACTGACAGCTGTTTGTTATCATTGAAAGCTCTAGAAGGTTTGCTATCCCCGCTCTGGTTCATTCTTTAGCCCTCATTCATCTAAACATTGGTAGCCTGCTGCCAGTACATCATTGTATGTCCTCCACTGAGCACACAGTGAGACAGTCTACTTCAAGTTGCCCTGGCTGAGAGTGCTTCCCTTTGCACTGCCTTCCAAGATGGCATATTGTATTGTCATGTATATCACAGGCTGCAGTGTTTTACTCTTCCTCAGTTGAATGACTGTAGGGGACTCCTCATGAAGAAAGACTGATTGAGAGGCAGAACAGCGTCAGGAATCAGCACACTAGAGAAGAAACACCTGCTTGTTAGTGTCCTTCTGTCTTCTGGTTTGCTTCATTTGCACACCTTTGCATACACAGCCACCTGATGGTGGATGCCCTGGGCATACCAGTTTCTGGCCATGTGGCTCCATAACATCTAACTCAGGAGGAGCAGCTCAGATGTCCCATACATGGCCAGGAATTCATTCTAAATCTAGGAGGGCCCAGTAGCAACCCAAATGTTATTTTCAAAAGGACAATAGTTACTTGACAAAAATGGACAAACTAAACTATGCACCTGGACATCTTCATTGCGAGTTTTCTGTTGGGGCAAATGTGAACTCACTGTATGATTAGGGCTAAGTCACAGGGCCTGGGCTCTGGTGTTAATCAGCAGCATTTGGATTAACCTGGTAAGTAGTTCAGAGCAGCACAATTAATTATAGTATGTATGGCCTCCATGTTTCTAAGAGAAAAAAATGATATTTGTTTTCCATGTTTACTTGAACAAGTTTATTGTTTGGTACAGGCTTTTGGGGTTCCTCTCTTTTCTTGTGTATTGGTAAAGATGGATCCTTTTTTTTCTTTGATCTTCCTAACTGTTCTGTATAGTTTCTAAAGTCCTAAGGAGGACTCAAGGGAAACCTGTTGCTTTGGAGCTTCATGTTATGGTTGGTTTGGAGGATTTGTGTCTGATTGTGAACTTCTAAAACAAATGCAGAATCGTTCTAGCTCCTTCACTTTGGAGAGAAAATATCCCATTTCTATTGATTACATCAGACTCTCAATTGTAAGAGACCAGCTCAAGCCTTCCTTTGTAGAAAACATTTAACATTAACATTTATGCATTTGGGAAATGTTTATTTTCCCTTTGAAATTAAAAGTAACTACCTAAGTAACTTTTGCTGTGTTCACATTATCTCACTTAAAATTCCATCATGATTCCCTGTTATGCTTTTGTGGTGCTGCTTATCCCCCAGTGCTCAGCAATAACTTAAAATTTCATGTTGTTTTCTAGACAAATTCTTTCCTGTGTTTTTTCTTATTTGCTGTATTAATTGGTCGAAAGGAGCTTTTTGCTGCATTTGGTTTTTATGATAGCCAGCCTACTCTAATTGGACTACTGATCATCTTCCAGTTTATTTTTTCACCTTACAATGAGGTAATGTATACTTTAAAATTTCTCTCACATAACACTTTCCCTTTTGTACTTCTAAGTCCTTTAGGATACTATAAAAAGAAGTTAACAAAACTGTACAGCCTTAACAGATAGTTGAAATTGTCTTTTAGTCCCCTGATCAGCCATTATGAAAAGGTAACAGAAAAATCCAAGCACAAATAAATACATGCATACAAGCATTTATGTGGAGTGGGAGTAGAGAATTAGACTTAGGCAGTGAAAACCTTGATATTACATGTGCCTCAGAGATTTAGTAAATGAAGACCAACATTGGGAGGCCACATCCTGGGGTCCCTAGGCCATGTGTTCACTGTGCTTGGGCAGAATCTTCTGTGTGAGGAAACAAAGCCAATGATAATTGAGTGTATGTATGGCCATACTAAGAAAGGCTATATAATTGTATGGATTTATGACCAGCTGCCTAAAATAACACAAATATCCCATCTTTATGTAGGTATATTTTGAGCTCAACTACTAAATATAAGTGCAGGGGAGAAAACTCAAATACTAAGTATAAGGAAAGGGAGGGAAAAACCTCTGAACAATCCTAATATAGGCCACTGAAGATAATCACTAGCAGCACTCCCATCTTTATGTAGGGAAGACTGTCCTGTTCAGTTGGAGGTCAGCAGCTACTATGCAGTGAACTTGATTATCTGATTTGTGATCCAGTGTAAAACAGGTTAAAAAAGAAAACTGGCTGGATACCTGTAACCCAGAACTCAGGAACATGAAGCAAGAGGATTTCTGAGAGTTCAAGGCTAGCCTGGGTTACATAGTGAGTTCAGAGCCAGCCTGGACCACCTACTGAGACCCTGTCTCAAAAAAAAAAAAAGAAAGAAAGAAAGAAAAAAAAAAGAAGAAAATTGAACAGACTTTAATGGTAAATCATACAATAGCAATGATTATCAGCTCAACAACAGATGAAGAAGTAAAAAACATTTAAGTGAATCAAGTATGGGACTATATGCTTACTGGTATAATCCTAGTGCTCAGGAAGCTGAGACAGTAAGATCAAGAGCTTGAGGCTAGATTGAACCAAGTTGTATGGCCCTGTCTCAAAAAAACAAAACAATAACAACAAAAAACCATAAATAACAAAAGCCTGGAATTTCAGCTACTCAGGAGGCTGAGACAGAAGGATTACAAGTTCAATATAATTTATCAGAACCTTACCTCAAAATAAAAAAGGGCTACAGAAGTTAACTGCCTCTCACTGATCTTCCCAGCTACATAGGATCACAAACATGTACCATCATGCCCACCTCAGTTCATAATTCTGCTCCAAAAAGTATGTCAACATTTGATGGGAAATTTTAAGCAAAATTCAGTAGTAGTTAAGGAATTCCCAGACTTTATTTGAAGCTCTGCTACTGACACATTAACAACTGCTTTTTTGAACCTTTATAAACTTTTTTGTATTAAAATATTTTAATACTTGTATACTTCAGTTTACAAACAAGTTTCTCCCCTCAATTAAATTATATTGAACTTGTAATCCTTTTGTCTCAGCCTCCTGAGTAGCTGTAATTCCAGGCATATACTATATATTTCTCCTTTCTACTCCCTCCTTTTTTCTTCTTTCCTCCCTTCTTCCCTTCTCCTCTCCTTCCTACCCTTTTATCCTCCCTCCTTCTTGTCTTTCTCATACTAGATATAGAAACCAGGGCTTTTGCGCCAAGATACTGCCAACCCCTTTTATAATTTTTTAAACTTTTGAGATAGAGTCTCAATAAATCACTAAATAGTCTTAGCTGAGCCTGAGCCAATGATCTTCCTGTTCAGCCTCCCAGAGTGCTGGGTTACAGAAATGGGCCACCATACTTGGCAGGAGTTATATTTTCAGATGGAAATTTCCATGTAATAAAAGTCCTCATAAGTTGTATATTTATTCTGATGATACTACCATGGGTCAGAATACTTACAGAAAATTGAGTTTTGAGATTATCTGGAGCTGTGGCAGTTTTTTAGGATAATCTTGGTGAAGACTGTCAGTATTCTTTATTCTTTATTTTTTCTTTCTTTCTTTCTTTCTTTCTTTCTTTCTTTCTTTCTTTCTTTCTTTCTTTCTTTTTTTTTTTTTTGTGGTACCAGGGAGTGAATTTAGGACCTTGTGCTTGCCAGGCAGGTGTTTATGCTGCTGAGCTATATCACAGGCCCTGTCAGTATTGTTTAAAGGGTAGGTGATCAAGAACTCAGAGCCTCGTACCTGATGGGCAAGCACTTTGCCACTGAGCCTGCGTTCCCAGCCCAAAGTCTGTATACAAATTCCTGTGACTACAGTCTGACTGTAGAAGGCCCTGTGCATTGGCTTTGGCCTCCCAAAGGGCAGCATCAAACCTATCTGTGTGGCTTCTTGAAAGTTGTCTGATGTCTTGAGCTTCACCTTCCTCAACCTTAGAACAGAAATAGCTTGCTGGAGAACACATAAAATGCTTGCCTCAGTGCTTGGCACATGGCAGATTCTGAAAAACTACAAGTAGTAGTAGTAGTAGTAGTAGTAGTAGTAGTCGTAGTAGTAGTACTGTTTTAAAGACAAACAGGGTCTCACAATGTAGCTCAGCCTGGCCTTGAACTCACTATGTATGCCAGATTGTCCTCAGACTCACAGGGATCCTCCTGCCTCAGCTTCCTGAGTGCTGGGATTACAGGTGTACACAACCACACCCAGCTAAAAAAGCAGCAGTTTCTTTTAGTAAGGATGATATTCATGTGCATATATACCTATTTCTGGTTTGTTTTCATGTAGAAAAAGTCTCAGTTATTTATAATAATCATGCCACCCTGGGCCCCTTCATTCACTTGCCTTTCTTATATGCTGAGCAGTCAGCTTTGGAACCTTCAGTGACAATAGAGAGCTACCAGAGCAGGGCAGCTAAAACTCTCTTCCTTTCCTTTTCCAGGTTCTTTCTTTTTGCCTCACAGTCCTAAGCCGCAGATTTGAGTTCCAAGCTGATGCATTTGCCAGGAAACTCGGGAAGGCCAAAGACTTATATTCTGCTTTGATCAAACTAAACAAAGATAATTTGGGATTCCCTGTTTCTGACTGGTTGTTTTCAATGTGGCATTATTCTCATCCTCCGCTACTAGAGAGACTTCAGGCACTGAAAAATACAAAACAAGACTAAGATGCCTAGAGTTTGTGACTGAAGACATTTCTGATTATTTCTGTCTTGGCAGCATGTTCCTGCTCTTGATGTTTTTAAACTTTTGTTTTCCTTTTAAGAGAGAAATAATTAGGTACAGAAAAGCCCATGTGTAAATACATTTAATATCTCATTTCAAAAATGATTTTAATAATTTCTTAAAACACTGGATAAATTTTTGAAGCTTAATGTTTTTAAAGGTATAGTTTGACCTCTCGTTTTCCATCAGTTTGTTATTTTAAAAAATGCAGAACTTGTTTTATGTATTCATGCATGTGGGTCTGCTTGTAAGGGCTGTGTGGGGTGCACATGGAGAGGGGGCACCTCCACCTCCGCTGATCCTTTCTGCAAAACAGAAACAGTCCTGAATCCTGATACTTGTGGCTAAGTTGAAATTTGTTTTTACCTTCATACTGTTGTGATTTACCCTGGCCAATCAGTGTTTTCAATAAGAGAGATAATGGTTGGTAAGGGTGGTGTTACTTAAATGATAGTTGTTAGAAACATGCTCTGCTGTTTTCCAGATTTCAGATCTCCTCTTTCTCTTGCTGCCCACTGATCAGGAATTTCTAATAGTGATTTGAAATTAGAAATTACATGTTGCATGTTTTAAATCAATGTCTTTTTTTTTTAATGCCTGTTTTTGCTTTTGTTTCTACCTGGTACCTATGGTCCCATTTGGGTACATTAGGGTTTTTTTTTCATTCATTCTCCTTTTTTTTTTTTTAACTTTTAAAAAAGTTTTGAGTCAAGATCTTACTGTGTAATTCAGGCTGGGCTTGAACTCATTATGCAGCTCACACTGGCCTCGAACTCACATTAATCTTCCTGCCTCTGTGAGTGCTGAGGTTATAGGTGTGCACCACCATGCCCAGTACTCATTCATTCTTTTGTTCAATAAATAGTGTATTCTTTCATTTAGCAGAAATTGCCATATTAAATAGGTTTTATAATGTTAAAAGTGGCAGAATATTGAAGAAAAGATTACATTTTAAGAGACATATGGACAAATACTGATTCTCTTTGATTACAGGAAAAATATAGTTTTCTGTGTCTTTCAAGGAGAAGAGTTGGTTTTTATTTTTGTAATTTGTATCTGTAGTCAGAAGTACTATTAGGGCTGGAGCTGTTTTTAAAATTTAATAATTCTTGATATGTATATAATGTTTACTTTCCAAAAGTTGTCATGAAAGATTCCCAGTTTTAAAAGCTGTATGTTTGACTGCTTCAATTCTGTCCACTTTCTGAATGAGAACTTGCTTTGTGTCTAAGATTCCCCTCTCACTGATACTGTTTACTTTCTGGGCATTTATTCCAAAGTGGGGTTGACTATGTACCTTTGTTATCAGTCTTTTGCTCATCTGACATTTGAGTGATGTCTTCACATGGAAATATAATAAAAATTAAAACTTAGTTTAGTACTGCATTATTTATTTTCCTACAGCTAAAGTGGAGCAGCTCTGCAATTTTTAACAAGTATCTTTTTCTTGTGACTTCAGGCTCTGAGAACTGCCTTTTATTCCTTCTGTGCCTTTAAATGCGAAGTTCAGTTCTGCACAAGTAAAACATTAAAAATTGCCAATATAGACCAGTGTACCTTGTGATTTGTGTGTCATGTATTGCCCAGATGTGTGTTTCTTAGCCTTAGAAGAATGGGGTTGTGGTCTGAGAAGAGTCAAAGGAAGTAGCCCTAATGCTAAATAGCGACAACACTGTCCCCAGGTCTCACACAGAATCCTCTTAATGACTTTTTCTTTCTCTATAGACAATGGTTCTTGCTGATGTTTCCTGAGAAGATTCATTTGAAGTCTTTTCTTCTCCATTTTTGTAATTTTAAATTATCTCCGGCTTGCCTTTTCTGCTCCAGTTGCTTCTGGTCTTCCTGACTTATAAGTATTGTACAATAATTTGCTTGGGGAAGTGTGACCACCATCACCCACAGTGTCTGGATGTCAGGTCTCAGGGAGGATAGGAGAAGACTGATGGCTTCCTGAAATCTTGGCCAGGAAGGAAAACAGGAGATATGGCAACCAAGGAAGCAAAGAGTGGCACCTGGCACCCTAAGACTTGATAGACAAGACCAGGATCAAGTGGGGCAAATCCTTGGGTAAAGAAGTATTACTGGCAAAGTGGATCTCTGATTCCAAAGCAGAGTTTGGGCTGTGACTGTATACTGCCTTTATCTGAGTTGACCCTTGGTGAAGTCTTAAGAGCTGCTCATAAATTCTGCCTCTGTTTGGGTAGCAGCAAAATTCCTGGAATAATTAGAATGACTTTAGTACCAATGATGATGTTCTGAGCTTTCTCTATAGACTCTATATGCTCAATGTTACTGTTTATGCTTTGTGTAGATTTCCCCTTTCTGAGGAAGCCTCTTTCTGCTTGGTCTTTTCCATCAATGTTTTGTATATTTCTGTACATAAATATTTTGTGTAGCTTTTAACAGTTCTGCGAATTGTATCATCACTAGCAGAAAACTTTCTAAATAGCAGCTGAGGGCCTGAAGTTTTGTCCTTAGAAACTATATGAAGAAAATTACTGAGAAGATGTAATCTAAAACTTGTATCCAAATTTATAACAAAAAGCTTTATTGGGGAAAGGGGATTGTGCTGAGCATTAAACCCAGGGCCTCATACTTTCAGGCAGGCACTCTACCACCAGCTTACATCCCCAGCCTAGCCAGAAACTTGATTCAAGACCACAATTGGGTTGAGGATATAGCTTAGTGGTACAGTATTTGCCTAGCATGCACAAGGCCCTGGATTTGATTGCAATACTGCAAAAAAATACACCCACATTAATGTGAGCAAGTAACTTGAAAGCATGTGTGGGTCAGGCCAATTACAGTTTGTTTATAAAACAAAAGTAATCCATTGTGGAGTATTCAAACATGGTCAGATGAATCTTAGGCTCTTCTGTTATTATCTAGGAAGCTTTCCAGAGAGGAAGATTTCCTAAACAGTTTGACTAGACATGAGCCAAGAGTCCTCTTGTGCTCTAAAACCTGAGCAATCAGGCTGCCTATACTGATCAGACAGCTGCCCTACCTTCAGGTCAGAGCTCTCATCCAACTCACTAGATGGTAGTAACAGGCAAGGCACAGCAGAGTTTTGACCAGGAAGCAGAAATACTAGTGTTTGTCTTAAGACCTTCAGGGCTTGGGGGAATAGCTCAGTGGAATAATTGCTTGCCTGCAAGCACAAGGTCCTGAGTTCAATGCCTGGTACCACCAAAAAAACCCAAAAAACAAACACACACACACACACACACACACACCCAACAGTGTCTTAAGGTTTTCAAGAGAGATCACATTCATGTATCTTTTATAATAATACAATACTTGCTATTTTATTATTGGTAATTGTGAACCTCTTACTGTGCTTAGTATGTAAGCTAGATTTTATTTATTTATTTATTTATTTATTTATTTATTTATTTATTTGGTACCAGGGATTTAACTCAGAACTCTGCACTTGCCAGGCAAGCACTTATTCTACTGAGCCATCTCCCTGGGCCCTAGACTTTATCTTAGTTATATATGTAGGAAAAAAGTGTTAATAGGACTCACCTGAGCAGGTGTCCAGGCATCTCAGGAAGAGGAAAGCACAAGTGTAAAGGCCTTGAAATGGGAGCCAGCCTGGTGTTTGAGAAACACCAGAAGACCAGAGAGGACAGGATGCTCTGTGCTACAAGAGAGGAGAGGTAAAGTTGGGAATGAGCAGATTTTGCAGGACAAACTAAGAATTTACTTGGGTATGATGGAAAGCCATGGAAGATTAGGAGCCAAGGACTGGCATGATCTGACTGAGTTTAACAGGCAAATCCTAGGTTCTACATTAGGAGCAAGGAAACTGGTTGGTATGTTCTCCCTGTGCTGGTACTTTTTTCAGCAAAAAGTCATGGTGCTAGGCTGTAGTGGTGGTCAGAGGTGCAGGCTGTGTCCTGAGGAGTGGTGTTGGACTCTGGAAAGGACTGGGCTGTCTTGCTGCAATGTCCTGTGAAGCTTCTCAAAACCCTCTTCCTAAGTGTAAACAAGGGAGTTGATCTCCTCTTTGTTGCACTATATTTTTATTTGTTTATTTTTTGTGTCAAGATTTGGTTTTGGAGGGAGCGGGTCCCTATTCTTGGCAGTGAGAACCACCCAGGTACTCAGACCATATGGAACTCACAGCCACACACAAACGCAATAAAAGTCACTTTCTTCTTTGTGTTATGGTTGTTGGGTCTTTTTCCTTTGAGCATCCTGACTATGTTATATTTATTGAGCATCTGCTGTGTGTCAGACCTCCATGTGCTGGAGAAAGAATAGGAAATGACAGATCACAGTCCTGCCCTGGTAGAGCTCATATTCTAGTGTCTTGCAGGGACAGTGAAAAATGCTGAGGAGAAACAGTCAAGCATGGGAGAGAGTTTGGAATGTCAGAGAAGAAAAGTCAATTTAGAGGAAGACCAGCAGCAAGGAGACTGGCAATGGTAACACTGGGGACATACTCTGAACAATGGGCACAGGCAGCTTGCATGCAACATTTTTGAGGAACAGCACAGGGCTGGCATTGAAGGAGTGGCATGGACCAGGGTCTGAGCAGAGTGAGGCTCAGATAAGTTCAGGGGAGACTTGTTACACATGAAGAAATCTAAATGACATTCACTTACCAGAAGGCTTATAAAAGGTAGCAGGCACTGGTCCCTAGGAATTAGTCCCCTTTCAGCTCCTTCAACTACCTGAGTGGTAGAAATGAGGTATAACACTATAGAAGATTTGTAAATCATCAGCTCTGTGGTAACTGATACCCTCCAGTAAACCCAATCTCAGAAAGTCACAGCAAGGGCCAATGTGTGGAACAGCTTCAAGCAGTGGACTCTAAATCCAAGATTTCAGATACTAGGACCAAGAATATAATGTTGCCTAGGGAAGAGAGAACCCTCAGTGCCATGGGAGTGCCCTGGGCTAGAATAACACTCATCTTCCCCTTGTCTACTGAGCCCTGATTCTCTGCATCTCCCAGTTCCCTGGCAGCTGCACAGCTCTGACCTTCTGTGGTGCACTGGCATCCCAATGCTTACCATTCAGGAAGTGCTCTGATGAAGGCATCCCATGTCCTCCCTTCCATTGCCCTGACCACTCTGTCCAGGCAATGGAGACCCAGCGACTTTGCACCATACCACAAAAACACAGAGCTCAGAAACTCACATCCTGATTTGTGCCCAAGTTGAGGGCTTTTATTTACAAAGATAGAGTCTGAAATAGATATGGGGAGAATGGGACAAGGGAGAGTAATGCCAGGAAGAGGAGGGAGATGGGTGTTTAAATACTCAGATGGGAGGCAGGAAGGAAGGGGTGGGACTGGCTTGAAGATGGCCACCTCACGGTGGTCACCCATCAGCAGTCATCCAGTAAGTCCAGAGAATGTGATCAGGAACCAGCAGAGACCTCAGTCCACCTGCCTCAATGATACGATGGCCAGTGGAAGATGGTGCAGATTAAGGAAACATCTGGTACCACCCAATGGTCCTCCCAGGATGAAAGTGACCCTGTTCCCTCAGAGCTTTGACTTTCCAGCAATACCTGCTGTCAGCTTACTTTTTCACTCTAATGCCCTCCCTTTCCTTCCCCCATGTTCTAGAACTCCTCCTCAGAACCTCTCGGTCTTATATCAAAGGCCCTGGGATGCTAAATCCCTGGGCTGGGAGCATGTCCACCTGGAGAAGACACAGGATGCTGGTAGGCTCCACTCTTGCCCACTGTTCATGGTCCTTTAATGGATCCAGGCTCTGTGAGCCGGGCAGAAGTGTAGGCTGATGCTCCAAGGCAAGCTGCAGGCTCACAGAAGCCTGGCAGCCCCACTGGGCCTGGCAGGCCAGGACGGCCCGCCTCTCCTGGAGCCCCTGGGGATCCTCTGTCTCCATCCTTGCCATTGATTGCCTGGCCAGGCCGGCCAGGGAGTCCTGTGAAAGGCATGAAGTCAGGACATCAGGGCCTCCTTCTGTCTTGCCCTAGATATCTTAAGCTGGGATATTTTTCAGGTAAGGAAAACAAGATCAAAGACAACACAAGAAGCAGGAGCTCTGCTCCCAAAACAGAGCCCAAAACAGAGTCTGGTTTCTGTTGCTCACAACTCCCAATCAGTGAATGCTTTCCCTTCCCCTATAAAGTGACCGTGGTACATCCCAGGAAGTCCTCAGAGTCCCAGCTTCCAGTTCCCAGCCAGACCAGGCAGAGGGGGAGGCCTCCATGTAAGAGCACCAGGTGTCCCTGGGCCATGAATCCCCAGGCTCAGGGACAGAATGGTAGATGGACAGGGCCAAGTCTTACCTGGGATCCCTGGGGGCCCAGGCATCCCAGGATGCCCACGCCCTACTTCGCCTCGATCACCCTTCTCTCCACGCTTCCCTGTAGGCAAAAAAAGTGAGTCAGTTTTTCAGGATTAAAAGATTTTTATTCCAGCCTACTGATTTTTAAATAGTCCTATAGCTGTCTTTTTTCTTCTCTTGCTCAATGTCTTAAAATATTTTTCAATAAAACATGAATTATTAATCTTTCTTCCATCAGGAAACATTTCTGTAATTCTATACTTGAATGGTGGGAAATTTATGACAATAAAGACCCACACAATGCAAAATTTCCAGCACCAATGAATACAAAGCTAAATGAACTATAGATGATTTCTCACTTTGTTATTTTGTTGCACATAACTTGTTACGGTGCTAGTTTAAAATAAGGGAAAATTGGAAATGAGCTAGGAAGGCTAGCTAAATTGAGGGAGGTAAAATAAAGGAAGGACAATTTTGTATCTGATAAATTTTATTATAGCAGAGTGTCCAATAGTAATTCTTAGCATTACAAGCAGTAAACTAAAAATTCTTTGTAAATCACCTAGCAATGTAATCCCCACAAAACACCAGTAAGTCTCCACAGTCAACACATCTAAGGCTCAGAGACATAGAAAGAGATTTTTGAGATACCACAAAATAAAACATCCAAAGTTGTAAAACAGTACATTCATTTTCATTAATTAGCTAAGGGGAAGAGCCCAGTAGTGCATCCCAGAAGAGTTTGGTCAAGGAATAGAGAAATTCCAAGTTTGCTCATCTTGGGACTGCTAATGGTGAGACCTAGTGACACAAGGAGGCTAAGCACTCAGCTGCTGAGGGCCACTGGCCAAGTTCCCATTGCCCAGCCTCACTGCAGAGCAGTACTCACCCTTGGGTCCTGTGTTGCCAATCTGACCCACAGCTCCTATGATGCCAGGAATTCCTCGAGGGCCAGGGTGCCCATGGGGTCCCTGTTTGCCTGGGTACCCAGGTGGCCCAGGAGGTCCTGGGGGGCCCATCATCCCTGCTGCACCTAGGGCTTCTCGCTTGGCACTCACAGCCACCTCTGCCAGTTGCTCTAGAGGGAGAAGGGGGACAGATGTCAGTGAGACAGGTGTCAACTCTGCAATAGTATGGAAGACAGAATATCCTGACATCCCCTGGCCCCTAGGTTTGCAGACAGGAGAGGCCCAGGTTTGCAATCTCCCTTTCCCAGGCCCTGTTTTGCTGAAATTAAAGGTTCCAGAGTGATTTATTTATCCAAGCGTCCCACGGCCCTTGAAAGCAGAGCTAGAAGGATCAGGGACTCCAGACCCTCAGGGAACCCTGCATCACCTTGCATCATCTTCAGCACCACATCTACAATGTGCTGGTCACTGGGATCTCGGCCCTGAAAGCAGAAGATGTCTTTCAGAAAGAACCCGTGCACCCTGCACTCTAATCCTTGTGGTCCCATCCTATCCCAGGGTCTGCACCCAGTACATGCCTACCCCGCTTTTTAATTTGGGCATGGAATCAGCCCAAGGAAGCCAGCGGCCCTCTGGAAACTCAGTGTTAACCCTACTGGCAAATCTACGAACTAGAATCACCCAGCTGGAAGGGGATGAGGAAGAGGCAACTCACAGCTATGCCCTGTCTTCCAGGCTGTCCTGGTACGCCTCGGTCTCCAGCCAGTCCTCGAGGACCTGGCAGCCCAGGGTAGCCCTGCACCCCTGGAGCCCCTGCATCCCCGCTGGGGCCAGGGTAGCCAGGTTCTCCACGGACTCCTTGCTGCCAGGGGTCGGGTGGGCGAAGGACAAAGGTGAGAAAGCCAGGGTGGGGAGGGTAAAGGGGGCAAGGAGGGTGGGTGGAGTGGGCAGGTGAGAAGGGCGGGTCCTGGTCAGCTGGAAGTGGGGGACCTGGACCAAGGGGTGACATGGGGTAGGCTTACCTGTCCTTTGGGCCCAGGCTCGCCAGCCTCGCCCTGAAGACACAGGAAGCTGCAGTCTCTGAAGGGCAGGGACTCCTATGCCCAGGGCCCACTCCCCTCAACCCCTGTGCGGTACTCACCTTCTCGCCTTTCTCTCCTGGGAGGCCAGCCACCCCCGGGTCGCCCTGCCAAGAGAGAACCATGGATCGGGTGGGCACACGCTAGCAGCAGGATGTGGAGCATCACAGACATTGCACCCATCAGTGGGCGCACCCAACGCCCTATTCGCCTGATGCATGGAAGCCAGGCTGCAGGTGCTGAGACTCACCACTGTACCCCGAGGCCCGGTCTTCCCTGGGAATCCCTGGGGAAAAGCAGATGAGAGCTTGGTGAGTCCCTTTCTCCTGGGAGAAGTGCCCCAGGGGTCCCCAACGCAGTTCCTGGCTGCATGCTTCTCACCAGCCCTGGATTGCCAGACCAGATCCCGGGAACCCGCACTTTTTCTTTTCTTTCCTGCTCTCTGTCTGTCTCTGTTTCTGTTTCTGTCTGCCTCTCTCTCTCTCTGCCTTCTTTGTCTCTCTGTCTCCCTCTGTCTCTCTCTCTCTGTCTGTCTCTTTTTCTGTCTCTCCCTGTCTGTCTCTCTGTCTCTGTCTGTCTGTCTGTCTCTGTCTGTCTCTGTCTCTGTCTCTGTCTCTGTCTCTGTCTCTGTCTCTCTCTCTCTCTCTCTCCCCCCCTCCTTTTTTTCCCACTGCAGATTGAACTTGGAGCCTCATGCAGGCTAAGCAAGCACTATACATCCCAGCAGGACCTGCAGACTGGAGAACTCAAGGTCTAACTGAGCTCCACAGACTCCACCCCATCCCAGGCTTGGACTGCTTTCCTAGGCACTTTCCAGCCCCGTTTGGCACCTTGTCTCCCT